TATTATTGTTTAGTGACACCAGAATGAGAGTATTCAGGATAAACATATTTGGAGCACGAATAAAGCCACAAGTATCCACCACAGTGTATTGTCAAAATTGAACCTTGTATGGATCATGATATTCAAGTCAAACAGACGTCGAGAGTAAACCAGAAATAGAAAATTGAGGCATCTAGAAAGCCCAATTTAGACAGATCTAGAGAGACATATTGAAGGCCAATTTCTACCAGAAATAGAATATTGGGGCATTTTGAAGGCTCACAGCAATATGAATATTTGGGCATTTTTGGAGACTCATCTCAACAAGAAGTAATGTTGAGCACACTTTTAACATCTGTATCAGCAAATGTTGGGGCATTTTAAAGGTTCCTTCAGACAGATCCATGTGGGCATTTTGAAGGCTCAGATTAACAAGAAGCAAATATCGGGGCATGTTGAAAGCCCATTTCAATCAGAATTAGGACTGTTGATGCATTTTTGAACGATCGTATCAGCAATTGTTGGGGCATGCTGAAGGCCTACATCATCATCTGTCAAGATCATTGACTTGAACAGATATTTCCAATGAGACAGAAAGGTATGAAGAATGAAAATGGTGAAACAATGACAATGAAGCTGACTATACATAATTGCTTCGTTCATCAGGCAGTACATTATGATCATGTTGTTGAAAAAATATCTACTCAGCAAATGTTTCAAATACCCAATCTTCTTAACCATGTGTCACATGATAGCGTGTTCCTTATTAAGCTACATCACAATCATGAATAAAGATGGTCCCTTTGTAACCATTCGATCCAAGGATCAGTTCCTCGAGACCTCGAAATCTGAATTTGGCCTTTTGTGTGTCGGTGATGATTGGAAATATTTCTTTGAGATTCCTAGCAGTTAGTTTCAACCATAATGTTGAGATTATGAAGCTGTTTTTCACATCAGTTTTTTGCTTACTGACATTGAAAAGGGAGACTCGACTCTCCCTTATATTACTGTTATTCCCGTTGTTATTGGGATCATCATTGCTAGCCAGGGTGAACTGAGTTTTCATCTATTTTGGTTTATCATGGGTGTTTCATCCCCAGCGGCAAGAATTCCATTAACCTCTTCTGTACATGGCCCCTATAGCTGATATGTTTCTAATTCTTACAACGTCATTACAGAAGAAAACGTGATCAATATATATTGCCTTTGCCCGATATGAAAACGTGATCAGTTGGTATCTCCTATTCAATTCGACACTAGTACATTTTGTGAATTTGATCAACTTTTTGGTCATACTAATATCACACTTGAATCTCCACTGAGTTTTGCTCTCAAATGGTCTTATGACATCATTCAAAAGCTTTGAACACTAGGCAAAGAGCTTCAATGATTAAGAAATCTTGGCAGAAGCCACAGAAAAGGATGAATGTGTTGTCAAACGCTTTATGAACGTCTGAGCAAAAACCACAAGAAAGGATGAATGTGTTGTCAAATGTTTTACAAACATCTGAGCAGAAGCCACAGAAAAGGATGAATGTGTTGTCAAGTGTTTTACATCTCGACAGAAACCACAAGAAAAGATGAATGTATTGTCAAATGTTTTATGAACCAGTGATTATGGTGCTGAACCAATGTTGTGATCATATGGTTTCCATTTTTGATCCAAGATGAAGTCTGTCTTCTTCAACCCCAAGATTAGAAGTTGAGATATGATGAAGATTTCTTTCCACAGAATGAGAGCTGAAATTCTAACAACAAGAAACTATTGGAGCCAACTAAGATCAAACAATAGGTTGTTGTTAAACATCTTTACATGATATGGTTTGAGTTGCTTTGTTCGAGATCCAATTAGATGTGGAGACATGAAAGGAATTGGAATAAATCCTCCTTGTGATATGTTTCAAGAGTCAAATCAGAACAGACTCTACTCTCTTAATTAATCCCTGCTGAGTCAGGCATATCTACATCTACACTCTTCAAAGATGATAGATTCTCATTTTAAAGATGACAGATTCTCTTTTCAAAGATGAAAACTTTATGGGATTTCTACACAAGTCCAAACAAATAAAGTTGGTTTTATCCAAGACAAAATGGGGCATTAAGGTCATAATTCTGACTAAGACAAGAGTTCCACAAATAAAACAATTCTTCTGAGACTTTCATGAAGCAAAGAATACATAAAGATACAAGTTGATCAGATAGTTCTTCAGAAATGCAAGCTTGATAGCATAAGTTGCTACACTGATATCCAGAGGTGACCCTGGCAATAAATGATGAAGTGGAGGAAAACTGAGTTCACCATTTTGAAGTCAAATGAAGATTGCATCAACATTCATGCATCATATTTAGACATTTGCAAAATAGGAGCATTTTCATTCATTTTATCCATGTTGAATATTTGACAGGAATTTCAAAATTTTAGCAAAGATCAAATCCATCATCTGATGGATCAGCTTTTCCAGAAAAAGTTCATAATTAGAAGAACTCATCTGAAGAAGGAAGAAGAAATTCATAATGAGAAGAATTTGTTCAACCTTTTGCTCAAATCCATCACTTGATGGGTCAGCTTTTCCAGAGAAGTTCATAATGAGAAGAACTCATCTGAAGAAGGATGAAGAAGTTCATAACGAGAAAAATTTGTTCAACCTTTTGTTCAAATCTATCACTTGATGGATTATCTTTTCCAGTTCGAGTTCATAATGAGAAGAACTCATCTGAAGAAGGATGAAGAAGTTCATAATGAGAAGAATTTGTTCAACCTTTTGCTCAAATCTATCACTTGATGGATTAAAATTTCCAGGTAGAGTTCATAATGAGAAGAACTCATTACTTGAAGAAGGATGAAGAAGTTCATAACGAGAAAAATTTGTTCAACCTTTTGTTCAAATCTATCACTTGATGGACTATCTTTTCCAGTTCGAGTTCATAATGAGAACTCATCTGAAGAAAGAAAGAAGAAGTTCATAATGAGAAGAATTTGTTCAACTTTTTGCTCAAATCCATCACTTGATGGGTCAGTTTTCCCAGAGAAGTTCATAATGAGAAGAACTCATCAGGAGAAGAAGAAGTTCATAATAAGAAGAGCTTATTCAACCTTTTGAATGACTCTATCACAGAAAGAAAGAGGTCAACATCATCCCCAGCGGAAAGTTCATGATGAGAAGAACTCATCTGAAAAAAAAGAAGAATTTATTCAACATCTCCATACTAATCAAGTGAAGTCAAATGAAAAAAAACTTATTATCTTTTCGTCTTTGCTCTATTCTTATTAAGAATAAGCAAAGAGGGGCAGCTGAAGATATTCATTTTTTTTTTCATTTTAATGTTATTATTATTATTATAATTATTATTATTATAATTATAATTATTATTATTATTATTATTATTATATATTATTTATTAATATTTCAAAACCCGGAGCCCAATAATCAGGCCCATATCACAAGCCCAAACCAGATGAAAACCCTAAAACATTTAGGGTTTCAGTTAGGGTTTTCTAACCCTAGCCCCGTGCGCCGCCGCCTCAATGGTTTCCAGCCGCCTCAGAAGTCTTCAGCCACCGCCGTTGGTTCCAGAAGGCCACATGTCCGCTGCCTACACTCCACCAATGCCACGAAGCCACCCCGAAGAAGCCTCCAGAAGCTCTGCTGCCATAACCCCGACCGTCCACGTCGCCTCTATGGTGAGTCACCAGCATAGCTTTGGTGACTCACCGAATTTTTCACCCTTCAGACCGGTCCGATGGCCACACCGGTGATGGCTATAAAGCCATCACCCCATCTGCGAAAAAAAAAAAAGGACAGAGACGGAGAGAGAGACAGAAACAGAGAACAAAGAAACAAAAATAAAGAACAAATAACCCACAACCAGCAGTCAACAACAACGCAGCAACAAAAAAAAAGGAGAGAAGAGAGGAAAGAAACTTACTCTGTCATCGGAGAACCCCAACCGTCGCCGGATACAACGAAAACCGAAGGTACTTTTGACCGGGACGGCTTTCTCTTAGTTTAGAGAGAAGCCAGAGAACTCTGCTCTCTCTCTGTTAGAGAGAACAGAAATGAAGAATGAGAAGCTGGCCCGTAGGGCCAGCCGGTTTCGGGTATTAATACCCTCTCCCAAACGACGTCGTTTTGGGGGGTATTTCTGTAATTTCATAAAGGGAAACCCCATCCGAAGCTATTCCAACTGTAATTTTTACATTTTAGTCACTAAATCAATTTTATCCTTTAATTCGGTTCTTTAATTTCATTTTTATTTGTTTTAGTCCTTTATATTAAAAATAATATATAGGATAAATAACAGATTTAGTCCTATAATTTTCTAATTATTTTTAATCTGAATATATGTTTTAATTTATTTTAATCTAATATCCGAATTTTAGATTTTATTTTAGTCACTAAATATAAATAAAGGAATAGCATGTTTTAATCCCTATAATTTGATTAATTATGAATTAGGTTTTTAATTTTACTTTACTATAATTTAGTCATTTAAATGTTTTCATTTATTTTACTGCTTTTAAATATATCATTCTAGTTATTTTATTGTTTTAATTTTACTTGTTTATATTTTAAATATTTTATTATTATGTATATATATATAATAATAATAATTTATCTTTTTAATAAATTATTTAATATTTATTTTTCAATATCGACGAAAAGGACAGTCTTAATACAACGGATGTCCTATTCTGGTATTTTAAAATTAAAAAAATTAAAAATATTATTTAAATATCAAAGAAAAGAGCTGTCTTAAGGCACCTAAAGTCCTTTTCCGATATTTTAAATATTTCTTTTATATAATTTTGAAATACTAGGATTATAAATTAAATATATTTTGAATTTTTAAAATTTTTAATAATAGAGACAATTTATAATTAAAAAGTACCAATTTGGGCGTTGTAGGGGTGCTAATCCTTCCTAAACGTAATCGACCATATTTTCAAAACCATTTATTCACATAAAATTTTTCAGCCAAGTATAATATTTCGTGCCCGGACGAAAACCGGTTACGACAATCTTCAAAGAGTTCTCCAACTGAGAAGGATTTTTACTCTTGTTAACACGACCACTAGACGTTAATCCCGAACCTTTACGGAGAGATGGCTTTGATTCCAATGGAACTACACTACTTTTCTTCGTAACCTGTTATACAAACTAGGCTTTGCTGGATACATACTGGAAGAGTCCCCAGGTGCCGCTGCTGTTTTGTTTTGTTGTTTTGCTGCTTTTCATCAATTTTTGTTCCTGCTTCTCATTCACACCTACTAAACCTCGTTTCTCAGTCTGGGTTGCCTTTGGATTTCTTCATTGTGGCTGGGAATTTTCCACTTTAGGACTCGGTTGAGCTGCTGCTTTTTCTGATTGAGGCTTCCGACGTTTTGATGTTGTGCCTGAAGAAGAAATTTCACCAGGAATTTTAACCAGTGATGCCCCTGCTGTTCTCGGTGATGGTGCTGAAGGCCATGACTTACGAATAGCAGGCAAGGAGGATGTTCTAGCTGAAACCTTCTTTTCAGGTGAAAGTTTATCGGTTTCCTTCCTTGTATTAGCAGGCTGTGAAGGATTCTTCAGTAACTTTTGGGAATTCTTAACAGTTATTTGGGACTTTGTCGGAGGATCATTTTTTTGAATACTATTCACATTGGTGGAAGCCATTCTAGCTTTCCTCTCACCAAGATTTTTTAGCATTGCTTTCAACTTTGTTTCTTTTTCTGCATGCTTTCCAACATTCTCTCCTCTAAGTTTTTGATCCCTCTTCTCCTTGTAATGGTGATAGAATCCACCTCTCTGCTCTGGAGGCAGATTTTGTCCAATTTCCATTTGAGGCTTCTTATGGCTAACGAGCTGATTTTCCTTCATTTTTCCGCACATTTGGTTCAACTCCGCTTCGTTCTGTTGACACCATTCAACTGTGCTTTTTGACATTTCATTATCTTCTTCTTCATGTAAAATATCTGTGACCTCTTGAATATTTATAGGACTACAAGAGCTCTCTTCCAGCCTTTCTAACCCCACATCAATAGTTTCCTTGATGTTTACCACTTCAGTCCTACTATCAGATTCCAAATTAACTTCTGCAGATCTCTCCATAATATCATTATCAATGAAATTGTTAGAAGGCTCTGAAACAGGATGATCTTCAGAACCATTCTGCGATTGTGACTGGACAGCTGATTCACCCATACTTGCACTCCATCTTCTCAACGCAGACCTTTTTGGAACATCAGCAATCTGATCCCTTTGTTTACTTTCAAAAAGACTTATTTTATCTTGGACACTCATGCGCTGAATATTATTCTCAGGTTTCTTAATGTGTCCGGATCCTTCCTCTTCACTATCATCTGAAGCTACATCTCTTTGAATTGATATCTGTTCTTTAGCAGGAAAGTAACTAAGGCTCTTTACGGTCAGAGCAGGGACTCTATGCGAGCCAGTCCTCCCAATTTGAACCCTTCTCATTGGAGATGCTGCCCGTCTTGGAGATGCAGATCTTATAAGAGCTCGACTTCTTTCTGCGGATATTGGATTCTCCTCACTTGAGTCAGAAGATTCCTCACTTTCTGTTGAGCTTTGACGTTCAACCTGCGCAGCTTTTGCTGGTGAAACACCATATTTAACGGGTGTTTCAGAACTTACTGGGTTTGAAGTTTTATTATTTCCATCAGTCTTGTTTATGCTGCCATTAACTGAAGCATGAGTGCATGAGGAGTTTTCATCATTACGAGGATTAGAAATTTCGCACTTTTCTCTCAGCTCTAGAAACGTGCACAAAAATTTCCTGCAATAGATATTAACAAGATCATTGGTTTGCTAATAATTCATCTCGGAAACTGTTACAAAAATTTTGGGATGTAAAAGAAGATTGCAATTACAAATTCTTTGGGCAAATCAAATCCAAAGGATTGATGCACTTTGCTTTTGGAAGGCAACTTACTTTACATCACTAGCCCCAAAATTTTCCGAAAACTTTGCTAGATAAGTGATTTCTTCATAGGAGCAGATTTCTCCAACCGCCTTGTTAAAAGCTGCCACTAACTTACTTCTTAATGATCCAAGTCTAGAGTCCATAGCGCGTAAGAGCTCATTCCTAGCAAAGGTTTCCAAAGGTTGGTTGAATTTAAAGGAGAACGAGAAGACTAAAACACATTAACTAACAAAATATTACATATATATATTAATGGAGTGAACATACTTTGATGTTTCTGATGATCTCTGGACTCCAGGCTGCGGAGATCTACCATTTTCGCTACTTTGATTATGATCTTGATGACCCTGAGAAAACGAAAGTTTAGCAAGTGAGATCTCCAACGTAAACAAAAAATTCAAACACTTTAGGACACAAGGATACTTACCTGAGCATATAGAGAAAGATGAAATCTTTTAGCTTCCTCCAATTGAGACATCTCAGCTTCAATAACTTTAGCAGTATCCAATAAATCAGTAGAACCCACAATATCTAAGAATCTGTGAAAGTAAAAACGGGTGAATACAAAGTAGGAAGGAACCCCATTGCTTTTCTAGCAGCATACAGAGTAAACTAAGGAAAAAAACCTGGAGAAAGTATATAGAGTAAACCATGCGGGAGATTTGAGATTGCTGGGGGGTTGGAGTTTGTAATTAGCGGCATTTGAATTGAATTGGAAATGGATCCGCAGGTGTACAAGTTGTTTAACTCGGGCAAATGAGGCAAGAGTTTTTGAAGAACCCCAACACTCAGTTTCTCTACATTTTTACCCCGACATGTATATGCCTCGTACCTTGAAAAAAGATTGAGAAAATAATTGAAATTTTGCAGAAACTTGCAGAAAAACTAAAGAGAAATGAGAATGAACCTGTTTTGAGAAGGCAGAATCTGAATGGTTGCGTAATCTAAAATCGCATCTCCTCCGCCCATCTCTTCTGGGTTCTTCTTCTTCCCGTTGTTTATCTAACAATTCAGGGGAAAAAAGTAGAGATTGAAACTTAGCTTAAGGTTAAATCCAGGATCTGAAGAGATGCGAAAATCAAAAGAATGTGCATTATTCACACTTTACTTTTTTTCAACTTCGTGTGTAGTGGAAAATGGAATTTCTATAAAAACAAACAAGAGTCCAGCATTTGACTTGGGAGAGACATAGAGTAGGGAGAGTAGAATCGTAGTTGCGGTGAAAGTGGAATGTTGAATAAGGAAGTGAAATCATCAAATCATCAAATCAGATATAAATTGTTTGATTATTTTGATGGTTGGATTTAGATCAAGTTATTTTTATGTTAATTTGATATCATATTTATTTTAGGGTCGGATCAAGTTTCAGTTCATATCGATGTCAGTTCAAGTCTGAATCAGTTAAATATCAGGATAATTCAGGTTTAGATGGACTTCAGGTCTAATCTCGCTCAGATCGAATCACATCATTGATAGACAATATTCAGGTCAGATTTTACCGAGTACAGATTGATTTCAGGTCGGGTCATTTTTTGGATAATTATTTTTCACATTTCATGAAGGACGAATTGTAATTTGTAATTATATATGATTTTGAGTAAATTATCAATAAAAATATAATTTTAAGGACCAAATTGAACAAACATAAAATTACAAATTGAAATTTAAATAAATTAAATAGCACTCATGGATGAGGATCAAATCAAAATAATTATAAATGTTAAGTTGAAATTAATATACAATAGACTAAATTGAATTCATTTAAAAAGTTGGTGAACAAAAGTTTATAAAGTTTGGAAATTATGATATAATTTATAGAGTTTGAAGTATATTATGCAATTTATTGGGTTCGAAGTAAATTACAAAAATATTAATAAGTATGGGTTAATTTCATATACAAATATAATTTTAAACACTAAATTAAACAAATATAAAATTACAAGTTAAGATTTAATAAATTAAACGACACATATGAATCAAATCGAAATAATTGTAAAATATGAAGTTGAAACTAATATAAAAATAGACTAAATTACATTCATTTCAAAAATTGAGGAGTAAAAGTTTATAAAGTTTTGGATATTATAATATAATTAATATATATATATATATATATATATGCATAAATATATATACTTATACATATACCTATAAGTATGTATATATGTTATACTTATATACTTATCCATATATAATATATATATATATATATATATATATTTAATATATAAGTATATATACCTTGATAGATAGATATACTTATATATATATATATATATATATATATATATATATATATGCATGATTAATGATGTATGTATATATGTATGATGTATATACATAAGTGTATATAAATACATATAAATAAATATGTGTATATATATATACATATGCATGATATATGTATATATATACATTTATATATGTATATAATTACATAAGTATATATATGTATATATATATATTCATATTTATATATGTCACAATTTATTTATTTTTTTTAAAAGTAAAATTAATAAAAAATTATAATTATTAAAAAAATCATTTAGCAAATCCTTAAAACTCTTAACACCATAAATGCAAGTGTTCGATCTCCTTTATTCTTCTTCAAAACCGACGACAAAGTGATAAAATCCAAGGAAAACTTTTAACTGTTAAAAATCAAAAGCAAAGTGGATTGGAAAATTCTCACGTGCGGTAGTCTAATATACGATTAAGAAAAGATGTTATTAGATATGTTATTTTTTTAATATTTTCAGTAAAAAAAATTACCTAAAATCTCATAATTTTATCAATTGTAACTTATAAGTTAGGTAAATATCATATCAGTTCAATAACAAACCAGATCATTTACACAAGTCAAGTTGATAATAGATCGGGTAATACCATCTATTTACCAGGTTAATCTCGGGTTTGGGTTCATATCAGTCGGATCAGGACGGGTTCGGTTACCATATTATTGGTTTAGTTCAAATTCATGTCATTCTTACATCGAATGCAGGTCGGGTTCATATCTATAATTTTCAGGTCCAACTCGGGTTAAGTTCAATATCAGTTCAAACTCGAATCGATTTCGGATCACCATCACCTCGGATCACAAACAATTTTAACTCAAATTGATTTCATTCGGTTCTACAGACAGAATCAACCTTTTACCTCCATAATGTTGAAGTTACTTTAAAGCAATAACAAACACATCGCCATTTCTAGCTTAAGAACGGAGCTTATTGAATACACTTTTTTTATATAAAAAAAGAACTTGAAATTCCATTATGATTACTTACAACCGCTTGAAGAAAAAGAAGAGGTGAAGGACCACGTGATTTATACCAAACAATCTCAAAGGTAATAATTGATCCATCATACCATAATCCACTTTGCGCACCCTCACCGACAAGCATTTGTTATGTATTTAGATTTCATTATAAGTTTAACACTTAGTACTCAATGCTTTATATATACACAATAAAGAGGAAAAGAATGTTCCATTCCTCATTCCTTGCCCCATAAGCACAACTCACACTCCAACTGATTTCACCGCTCAAAACATAAATTACTTTCTTCTCTTCTTGGAAACCCTTTCGTGTGTAGGGTCATGAATACCCCAATATATCAGTATAAAGTTGACACCAATGGAACAAATAATTTGAATGACGGTTTAATGATTTGTGGAAACGTTATTACAGAAATTAAGACATCAATTATAGAACAATATAGGTTTTTATATAAGCTTAGAGATACGACTTTACATCTTACAGAAAGTTAAAATTTTATTGTGTATATGAAAATTTATATAATTTAGAGATTATATAATTTTAATCTTTGTAACATGTTTCGAATCTTATGAGTCACAATTGAAAAATTAACATTCTATCATTGTAGACTCGAATTCAAACTTAAGCTCGAGTTGTTTTTTTTATTAAATAGGATCAATTCAATCAAATTAATACCGCCCATTCATCATTTGAGTTGGTCTACAGGCGGGTTTGCAGTACTTCTAATCTAAGTTTACATTATAGACCAACCAAACAATTTTATTGATTAAAGAAATTATTGTTATCTATAAAGGTCTTAAATTAGAGATGATGTTTAAGCGTTTATTATTAAATAATTAAGAAATTTTCAAACAAATACTATTGACTATGCACCGAAAGTGTGCATAATAAATGCAACTTTCGGTGCTGCTTGAAAAAAAAAAGGGCAGCAGCTATTGTTGAATTTTCAGCAATGGTAAAATCTCATTTTTAGCCATTGTAATTTAGGGTATTTACAAATTAGTCCTTAAAACTTCAACTATAAATACCCTAGCTCATTTAACTTCAAAATCATCCCAAAACATTCTAGCTTTCTTCCAATACTAGAGAGAATTTAGAGAGTTTCTTGAGAGTTGTTTTCTCCTTTTTATCAATAGAGAATTATCATTGTTTTCTCCTTGGTCGATCGAGAGAAGTTGTAATTCTTATTTTCTCATAATGAAATTCTTCTACCGTTACCCGTGGTTTTTATCCTATATTATTTAGGGGTTTTCCACGTAAATTTTGTCTCTTTTATCTTTATTTTTATTTTCTCAAATTATCAGTTACGATTTTGCTCTTTTCGATAGCCGTCTTCCGCAACAATTGGTATCAAAGCCAGATTAGAGTGTGTAATATCTGCTTATTGTCTTTGTGGTTGCCATCAAAAGGTGGATCCCTCCAATATAAGAAAGTAAGAAGTTATTACCCATTCTTTGAAAGTTCTAGATAACTATTCACGATAGTGAAATAGTGGGAGCTATCCGTAAAAGAAGCTATGGCAACGAAATTTGATATTGAAAAATTCAATGGGAGAAATTTATCATTGTGGAAATTGAAGATGAAGCTTATCTTGAGGAAAGACGGTTGTCTTCCAGCTATCAGTGAAAGGTCGGTAGATTTCACAGATGACAACAAATGGATCGAAATGGACATAAATGTTATGGCAAACTTTCATCTAGCATTAGCAGATGAAGTATTGTCAAGCATCGAGGAGGATAATACAGCTAAGGAGATATGGGATCATCTCACCAAATTGTACGAGGTCACATCGCTTCACAATAAAATTTTCCTTAAGAGAAAATTGTACACTCTCCGTATGCCAGAATCTACTTCAGTGACGGAGCACTTAAATATACTGAACACTTTATTTTCTCAACTTACATCTTTAAGCTGTAAAATAGGAGAACAAGAACGTGTTGAACTTCTTCTTCAAAGTCTACCGGATTCGTATGATCAACTCATCATCAACTTGACAAACAGTATTGTCACTAGTCTAGTCTTTGATGACGTTGCAGCTGTTGTTCTACAAGAAGAAAATCGGCGCAAGAACAAGGAAGACAGACAAGTAAATCTGCAACAAGCAGAAGCATTGACAACGATGACAACGATGAGAGGGAGATCAACAGAACGTGGCCAAAGCAGCAGTCACAAACATGGTAGATCGAAGTCGAGGAGCAAGAAGAATTTAAAGTGCTACAACTGTGGAAAGAATGGTCACTTGAAGAATGATTGTTGGAGTCTAAATAAAAACTCCAACCTATAAGGCAATACCGCAAACACTTCAGATGATGGAGATGTTCTATGTTGTGAAGCGTCAACCACCGTGGAAGGCAGAAAAAGATTTGCAGATATATGACTCATTGATTCGGGAGCAACATATCACATGACCTCAAGAAGAGAATGGTTCCATCATTATGAACCTGTCTCAAGAGGATCTGTGTATAGTTGCAATGATCATGCCTTAGAGATCATTGGCGTAGGAACCATCAAATTGAAGATGTATGATGGAACAATTAAAGTTGTTCGAGATGTGCGGCACGTGAAAGGCCTGAAGAAAAATTTATTATCCTACGGATTGTTGGATAATAATGCAAGCAAGATTGAAACACGTGAAGGAATCATGAAGGTGTTTCGTGGAGCGCTTGTGGTGCTAAAAGGTGAAAAGATAACCAACAAATTTGTACATGCTGAAGGGAGAGACTTTGCTAGAAGCAGAAGCCTCTATTGCCTCATGTAGTTCAGATTCTGCAATGCTATGGCATCATAAACTTGGACACATGTCGGAACAAGGAATGAAAATCCTTATGGAGCAAAAGCTACTTCC